CTCCTTCTTCCCTGGCCCTGCCCGCCCCACCTGCCCCGTTCCGCCGGAGCGCAGCGCGGCCGCGGGGCGGCGCGGAGCCCCCGCGGGGCCGCCCCGCGGCGCCGTCCCGCCCCCGGCGGAACGGGGCAGGTGGGGCGGGCAGGGCCAGGGAAGAAGGAGGAGTCGCAGCCGCTCCTGCAGCGCGCTGTTTCTATATCAATTATTTACACGGTGTGTGTGTGCCTTTAATAACGCAGCGCGGCTGCAGCGGGCTGGGCGGGAGCGCACCGCACCACCGAGCCGCAGGAGCGTCGTGGGTGGCTGAAGAGAGGACGAGACTTGGAGGGAAGAACCGAAAGGCGACGAGGGCATTTCTGAGCCCTAGAGCGCTGCGAGGAGATGTGTCTGGATCGCTTCAGCCAGCCTGTCACATCAGAAAAAAATTAGCACCTGACGTTAATTGTGAAACAGGCATTTCGAATTTTATTTCAAAGGTTATTTTTATGTTAAGCTAAATTTACTTCTGCATGTAAGTGCCTCACACTATTTCCATCGTGGAGCACAGCCCGTGCATTACTGAACTGTGTGGTTATTTTTTCCTTGGTAAGGAGGGAAAGAGAGACAACGGATCAATATACGCTTGTACACGTGAACATGGCTAGTGAGCAGAAAATGCTTGTATGCATTAGAAGAGGACTGGCATCATTGCCAAATATAAATGGAAGAGCAAGTTGTTGGTGGATTTTCATTTACTTGATCTGGTCTCTGCAAGCAAATTGTACACCATTAATGCCTTCAAGCTTACTCCTTTTAACTCCTTTCTTACAGAGGACACCAGAAAGTTTCCCATCTACACCACTTCAGAGTGGCTCTGGATCCCTTTTATGGGGCTTCCCTCAGTCCTGCTCTGAGGAACACACAGTACCCAAGAGGCCCTAAAGCCTCCCCAGGCAACACTTTATCCTCCTGTCTGAATATTCCTTGCTGAATTGTGAGTGTGGTGCTCCCTGCCCAGGGAAGTATCCTCTTTCTGCGTTGCAGTGTCCGTTTACATCTGATGGCTGCTATCATGTCCCTGTGCCATGTTTTCTTTATGATGACCAGCTGCAATTTGTCCACCTGTACTGCTGTCTCTTTGGCCACCAACTGCCCTCAGCTCTCCTCCAGTTTCCCTTCAGCTGGTGCCTGCAGCCTACACTGAGCAGTGCCCCAGCATCTATGTGTGCAAGAGGTAGCCCTTCCTCCAAAAACAATTCCTCTAATTGCTTTTTAGTCATGTTCTGTGCTTTCCAAGCAACTTCTTGGGATTGTTTTGAATTCTTTTTTCATCCTCCGATGTGTTAGCAGTCACTCCCCAATTAATCCAGTTCCAAAGGCTGCTAATGAAAGATTCCAGGACAGACGCCTTTGGAATTGTGTTTATAATCCACCTGCTTGCTACTAAGCCACTGATGGTGGCTCTTTCCGCAGTTTTGTACCCACTGCCTAAATTTTCAAATAAACTGAACTCCCTTATTCATGAACATATGTGTAGAGTCTAAGACACGGATCAGTGCAGGCCTTTCTTCCATACCAAGGTCTGTTCCTCCATTGCCAAAGGAAATTTGGCCAGCTTGTCCCAGTTTCTTGTTGACAAGTTCATGTTAATAGTTGTTTATCTTATTGCTTCCTTCTATCTGTTTACAAATAGTGTGTCCATTTGTACTAGATGCTTTCTGGGGAAAAATTCTGGCTGGTCTATTTTTTTTATTTGTTTACTTATTTATGTTCAAATGCCATCTTAAAGATAGGTATCAATTTTGCCTATTTCCATCAGCAGGGTCCTTGGCTGTCATCTCTGAATTCTCAGAGATAAACACTAGTGTTTCCAATGCTGTCTGAGCCACTTTCTTCACTACTCTGGCATGAAGTGCAACCAGATTGTTGGTTTGAACACCTTTAAGTTATCTAAGTACTTTTGTAACTAGTTCTGTCTCAGTCTGGGCTGAAACCTTATTCCCTTATCATTAATGTGTATTATGTCAATCACCTGATTACAAGTGGCCTCTTTTAGCCAAGGCTGGTGCAAAGAATGCCTAAGCACTCTGAGTCTTCTCAGCATCAGGCAATAGCTTTCTCTTTCTGATGAGAGAAAGCTTTTGATGACTTCTTACCACTTATGTAGTCATCAAACAATTTCTTGTTACTTGCAAAGCCCTTGATAGTTAAGCTTTGTCTGTTGAATTGGCTTTTTTTGTATTTGTCCCTATCTGTTCTTGGCAAGCGGCACTTCCGCACTCACCCCACGGAAACCTGATCTGCTTTCTCTGTGCTTGCTTTTCGTAAGCTCAAGATTAGCCCAATCATCTGCTTCCTAACATTCCCAGATTTCTTCTGCAATGGGATCATTTGGGATAGACAGGTCTTCTAGAAACTCCTAGCTACCACTCGCTGTCTTTTCCCACAGAGGGGAAAGGCCTCATCATGGCCTGAGATTGGCAAAGTGAAATGTTGAGGGGAAGAGAACTTTGGGAGCAGAGGTCTCAAGTTGAAGTTCTGAGGAAAGAGAAATTTGGCTGAAGAAAGCAAAGAATTGAAAACTGGAAAGAGATGGGAAGGAAAAGAAGAACCCTTAGAGCAGTAAGTAGGATTACTGTGAATGAGTAGATCTGTAGAAAGAGAATAAAGTTATACAGCACAATGAAAAGCCCATAACAAGAGGTTACAACCCTTACTCAAGCTGATCAAACATTTTCATCCACAATGCCTCTTCTGGGCTGCCCCTACATCCTGAGTTTTTGTTTGGAACTAAAATATTTCAAAGGTAACATATTCCCAAGGGTTATGTATTTTTACATAGTAGGAGTTCTGCCTTTGAAACAGTGATGGTTGAGAGACTGTTTCTGCATAGAAGAAGGTTCAAGACAAAAAAGGAAAGAAAACACATTTCTAGGAGCTAAGAAATAAATTTTTGATGAAATAAGGACGACTGAAGCAAAACTTCATGGAAAAATATCTTTCAAATAACAGAAATGCTTTTATATATTCCTGTGAAAATTGATTTTGGTTTAAATGAGGAAATGAGAAACATTTGAAAGGAATATTCCAGCAGTGTGGTGGAGCCCACACATAAGCAAATACTAAAGTTAAGAGGCAAGCCCCTCTCTTCTGAGCAAGGCTTCTTGAGGAGCTATGTTTTGTGATGAAGCAAGGTTTCTCCAACAGTGCCTCTTTGACCTCAGAAGACACAGGACCTTTGGGATACCCCTTCACTGGAATACAGAAAGATACCATTTAAAAGATAAGCTGCATTTCAGAAGATAATGAATCAATGTCTTTTGGCTTATTTTTTCCACTTTCACTGAGTTATATCAGGAAAATTGCATACCATTACAACCTGGTTCCTCACCAGTTTGAGGAGGAGGAGCAGAAAAGATGAATATGGCCTACTCTGACAGGAGCAGTTTGATTGCCCTATTGCAGAACAAGCTTCCTGTTGCAGAATGAGCACCCTGTCTATCAGCACCCCACTGCAGCTCAGAGGGTTTGAAGCCAGGACCCAGAGAAATATCATTATGTTTACAGAAAGGAATAAAAAAAAAATCAAGCTCCCTTAGCGTTAACATTTTCACATACCTGAAAGACCAGCTGCAGTACTTTGAAGAACTCCTGGCATAAATTCCTGGTTTATGTGGAATTTGAAACAACCTCATTCCACATAGCAACAATCCTAGCTATATTTTATTGGTTTATGGGATGTATGCTTCATTTCCTTTTTTGTCTAAAGGAATCCTATACTGTACAGGTGAAAACATGCCAGTGCAATAAACCAAAGCTACTTGGTACAAAGTTTGATTAATAATATCACCTATTGGAATGAAGACTACTTATATACTGGAGAAAAGCATGGTGTCTTCATAGGATTGCATGATAATTGAAGTTGCAAAGGATCAGGAGGTCTTTAGTCTCACCTACTCTTGAAGCAGGATCAATTATGGGGTCAGATTTGGATGTGCAGTGCTTTATCAAAATGCTATAGGGGATTTTTCAGCTCAGGAGGGCAGGATGAGTGCTGGATGTGAAGCAAGATAAACGGAAAGAAAGAAGAATGAGTTCAAAGTGGTAAAAGAGGCTAAGCCACCTGGGGAACAGGCAGGAAAGCCTGTGCTTATTTCAATGTGCTCTCTTACAATCCTGATTGAACTAAAGACACCTGACTTTCACCATTGTTCTGATGTCAGCAAACATTAGCAAAACTCACTGGCAAACTATTCTGTCCCTCCTGATGCTGATTCAAATAAAAGATGATGACCTATTATCTGTGTCATTTACTCTGCTGGCAGAGGTATGTACCTCATATGGGGAGGGATCCAGCTGCAGAAGGGTTCCCATCCCCTGTCTGCTAGGGGTGTGAGCATGCTGGGGAATGTGGGTGGC